GGGCTGGGAGAAATCTGGGATACTCCAGGGAAAAGTTGGAAGGGGCTGGAAGGGATCTGGGATAGTCCAGGGAAAAACTGGAAGGGGCTTGGAAGAATCTCAGATAGTCCAGGAAAAAGTAGGGTGGGGCTTGGAGGAATTTGGGATAATTCAAGGAAAATCTGGAAGGGGCTGGGAGGGATCTGGGACAATCCAAGGAAAAGTTGGACGGGGCTTGGAGGGATCTGGGATGGTGGAAGGTGCTGGGGGTGGAACTGAATGATCCTAAAGGTCCCTTCCACCCCAACCATCCCGGAATTCTACAATTCCTGGGATTCCATGACACGGGAAAAGGAAGATCCCAACTCTCCGACCTCTCCCAAACCTCCGGATCCCCCCGGGCATGACCCACTCCCCAAAATCCCAGCGGGATTCCGCGCCGGGACGGGAACGGAGACAGAAATCGGTGGTGGCACCCCAAGAAGCGCCGTTATCCCAAATATCCCGGCCCATCCCGAATATCCCAAATATCCCGATCCCTTTTCCCGGTGCCCACCTTCTCCTGGAGGCGCTCCAGCATGGCGGCCAGGTGCGCCTCGCGGTTCTCCTTGTTGGATTCCATCTTGTGCGCCAGCTTCTCCTTGGCCGTCTTGATGAAGTTGTTGTTCTCCTCGATGGCCTTCTGGATCACCTCCCGCTCGTGTTCCCGCTTTTCCGCCAGGTGCTTCAGCAGCTCCGCCTCCTGGTACTGCGGACACCGCATCCCCGGGATAAATCCAACCCTTCCCGAGCCGGGAAAGGGCGGGGAATTCCCCACCCTGGAATGGGGTTTTGGGGGTGCTGGACCCACCTTTCTCCTCTCCTCGGCCGCTTCCAGCTTTTTCTGGATCTCCTCCAGGGAAGGGTCACGGCGGCGGGGGAGGGAGGCGTTGAATTCGGGAATTCCGTCGAAGGAGGGGGGTTTGAGGATGACCTCGAAGGATTGGCCCGAGGTGCGTTTGTTGAGCTCGATCACTTCCATGTCGGAGATGACGCACCAGGTCAGGTCCACCGTGTCTGCCGGGAGGGGAAAAGGAGCGGAGTGAGCGCCGGGAATTCTCCTTCCGGGATTCCGGTTTTTCCCGGGATCCGTGAGGTTGGTCCCGGTTTAGCACAAATATTTTCCTGGGGTTCAGGGATGGGGTGGAGGAGGGGGGGTAGGAATTCCAGGATTCCTGTGGATGGAGCTGGGAATATTTGGGAGAGCTGAGGGTTGGGAATATCCCAGGCTTCCTGCTTTGGGAAGTGGGAATGATCCCTTTTCCAGAGTAAATTCCCATGGGAATGGCCTCTGGACACGGATCAGGCTGGAAAACCCACAATCCAGGATGAGGGAATGAAGGGTTCCCAGAATTCCTCTGGATCCCAGCCCATCCATGGAGCCGGGTCGAGAATATTTGGGAGAGCTGAGGGTTTTGGGAGGTGGGAATGGGACCCTGATCCCTTTTCCCATGTAAATTCCCATGGGAATGGCCTCCGGACACGGATCAGGCTGGAAAACCCACAATCCAGGATGAGGGAATGAAGGGTTCCCAGAACTCCTCTGGATCC